GACAACATATATAAACAGTAGTTAGATTGGGTGAGATCATTAAGGGATGGAATGTAGTAGATCGAAGAGAAAAGGTCAGTAGACTGAGTCCAAGATATGCCAGTGATTAGAAGATGGGGAAGGAGAAAGAGCCAGCATGCTCAGCCAGGTAGAAGAAAAATAGGAGGCTGTGATTTCCTAGAATCCTAATGAAGAAATGTTTCAAGGAAGAGTGAGAGAGGAGCTGAATCAAATGCTGCTAATAGCTCAAACAGGAGGAAGACTAAAAATTGACTATTTAGCCATAAGGAGGTCATTGGTAACTTTGATGAGAGTATGGGATGAAAACCTGACTGGAAACAAGAGAAAACTGGAAACCCTCACACCTAGCCAGTAGAAATGTAAAATAATACAGCCACTTTGAAAAGCAGTTTGGCAATTCTTTAAAAAGTTAAAGAGAATTACCGTATGACCATGAAATATCATTCCTAGGTATTTACCCAAGAGAAGTGAAAACATATGTCCGTACAACTTGTATAAAAATGTTCGGGCTAGGTGCTGTGGCTTACGCCTGTAATCCCAGCATTTTGGGAGGCCAAGGCGGGTGGATCACAATGGCAAGAGTTTGAGACCAGCCTGGCCAAGGTGGTAAAACCCCGTCTCTACTAAGAACATAAAAATTAGCCAGGCGTGGTGGCACGTGCCTCTAATTCCAGCTACTCAGGAGGCCGAAACAGAAGAATCGCTTGAACCCGAGAGGTGGAAGTTGCAGTGATCTGAGATCATGCCATTGCATTCCAGCCTAGGCAACAGAGCAAGACTCTGTCTCAGGGAAGAAAAAAAAATATGTTCAAAGCAGCATTATTCCTAGTAGTCAAAAAATGGAAACAACTGAAATGTCTATCAACTGATGAGCAGATAAACAAATGTAAATTTGTACAATGGAATATTATTCAGCCATAAAAAGGTATGAAGTATGAATACATGCTATAACATGGATGAACCCTAAAACATTTAAGTGAAAGAGGCAAAGTCACAAAAGAGTGTATGATTCCCTTTATATGAAACATCCATTAGTCAGGCTGGTGGTACATGCCTGTGGTCCCAGCTACTTGGGAGGCTGAGGTGGAATGAACACTTGAACCCGGGAGTTTGAGACTGCAATGAGCTATGACCATACCACTGCATTCCAGCCTGGGTAAGAGAGCAAGAACCTTATCTCTAAAAAATGAAAATTAAAAAAAACTTGAATAGGCACATTTATAGAGACAGAAAGTAGTTTAGTGGTTGCTTAGGGTTGGGAAAGAGATCGGGTGAAATGGGGGTTGACTGCTAATGGGTACAGGGTTTCTTTTAGGGAGGACCAAAATGGGACTGGCACGGTGGCTCACACCTGTAATCCCAGCACTTTGGGTGGTTGAGGTGGGTGGTTCACTTGAGCTCAGGAGTTCAAGACCAGCCTGGGCAACGTGGCAAAACCCCGTCTCTACTAAAAATACAAAGAATTAGCCGGATGTGGTGGCGCATGCCTGTAGTCCCAGCTACTTGCGAGGCTGAGGCAGAAGAATCGCTTGAACCCAGCAGTCAGAGGTTGTAGTGAGCAGAGATAACACCACTGCACTCCAGCCTGGGTGACAGTAAGACTCTGTCTCAATCAATCAATCAGTCAATAATAAAATTAGATCATGATGATAGTTTCATAATCCTGTGAATATACTACAAAAAATAATTGAATTGTACATTTTAAGTGGGTAGGTTGTATGGGATGTGGATT